TTCAAACAGCCCTCATCTTCAGGGGGAGAATGTAAAGAGAGGAAGATGAGACTCTCATGTTCCCAAAAACAAAAATGACGTTTTGGACCTGAAATTGGGACAAATGGCATTGTGTTCCTAAAATTGAGGGAAGAATTGGAACCTGGGCACCTGAACCAGCGAGACCTGCAACCTGAATGGCGGCGGAAAATTTGGGAAAATCTAGTATATTCAATTCAAGGAGAGAAAAAAAGGCCTTCGTAGAACCTTGCAATGTCCAAGAATCCAACCCACCACACTGCATGATGTAACACCTTCAAAAATCTATAAATTCCAATGATTCTAATGAATTTGTTTCTGGAAATCTAGAAGCGCAGGTTGGCACTCCTGGACCTACCCCTGTGCCCTTAGAAGGGACTAGAACATGCACTCAACACGCACGTTACCCATTATCAATTTCTTATCCTTTGAAAAATTCTCACCTACTCATAAAACTTTTCTCACTAACCTCAACTCCACACACACACCTTCCTCTGTATCTAAAGCATTGTCTGACAGGAAATGGAAACATGCCATGGATGTGGAAATGGAGGCGTTAAACAAAAATAGGACCTGGGAACTTGTCACCCTACCTCCTGAAAAAATCGCAGTAGGGTGTGAAGTGGGTATATCAATAAAGTATAGGCAGATGGTAACCATCGAACGTACACGGCAGGTTTTGGTGGCCAAAGGCTTCACTCAACCTATAAGTTGATTCTTGGAGACTTTTCCGTCGGTGCTAAGATGAACCCGGGTCCAGAGTAATAGTCATAGGCAGCCAATAATGATTGGGATCTGCAGTAGTTTGATGTGAAGAATGCTTTTCTACATGGAGACCTTGAAGAAGAAATATACATGGAGTTGCCCCTGGTTACAATGGACAGGTTGCTGCTGGAACTGTTTTCAAATTAAGAAAGACTCTATATGGACTGAAACAATCCCCAAGAGCATGGTTTGGAAAATTTACCAAAGTTATGATAGGTCTGGGCTACAAAGCCAAGGGGATCACACATTATTTATCAAACATTTAGTTTCAGGGGGAGTAATAATTCTACTAGTATATGTAGATGACATTATAGTAAGTGGAGATGACAAAAAGGAACAGCAAATGTTAAGCGAATGCCTTGCCACTGAATTTGAGATCAAGACACTAGGGAGGCTTAAATATTTTTTAGGAATTGAAGTGGGTCATTCCAAGAAAGGAATCTTCATATCTCAACAAAAGTATATTACTAACTTGCTTAAAGAAACAGGGAAGACAGGCTGTAGACCAGCAAGCACCCCAGTTGATCCAAATATAAATTGGGAAGTATGGAAGAGGATATTGCTGTGGACAAGGAAATGTATCAAAGACTTGTGGGCAGGCTTATTTACTTATCTCACACTAGACCAGACATTGTGTTTGCTGTGAGTCTAGTTAGCCAGTTATGCACCAACCAAAGGAAGCACATTTACAAGCTGCCCTTAGAATTGTCCAGTACTTGAAAGGGACCTTCGGAAGAGGGATTTTGTTCAAACGAAACAGGAGTGTAAGTCTTGAAGCATATACAGATGCGAACTATGCGGGGTCAGTGGTAGATAGGAGATCAACCACGGGATACTGCACCTTCCTTGGTGGAAACTTAGTGACTTGGAAGAGTAAAAAACAGAGTGTAGTGGCTAGATCAAGTGCTGAAGCAGAATTTCGAGCAATGTCTTACTGAATTTGTGAACTTCTATGGCTGAAGATTATATTAGAAGACTTGAGGATAAAGTGGGATGAACCTATGACGTTATATTGTGACAATAAATCTGCAATTAGCATAGCCCACAACCCGGTGCAGCATGATAGAACTAAACATATTGAAGTTGATAGACACTTTATCAAGGAAAAACTAGACAGTGGCATGATTTGCACACCATATGTATCCACCCAGAACCAACTTGCAGACATATTCACCAAGGGGCTGAACTGCATTAACTTTGAAGGAATCATATCCAAGCTGGGAATGGAAAACACCTATTCACTAGCTTGAGGGGGAGTGTCAGAAACTGTGATTGGCGTGATAGAGATTGGCATGGTGTATTTTAGGAAGTTTTATATTTGATGTGCTGTATTTTTTGTAACAGTTATGTGCTGCCTTTATTAGGTTCATTTATGTTTGATTGATCCCGTAATCACAGGGATCTATCCCTTAGAATTAGCCATCCATATTTCCTAAAATATGATGCAGACTTATTTATTTATATAGGGGTTAATAACCTCTTAATTAAATAAGAAAGAATTCTATTCCATCTAAATTTGAGAAACACCAATGATCCAATGTTTCATTGAAAAGCTAAACATTTTAAATAATGCTTTTTCTTTTATGAGAATTTTAAAGAGAAGGAGAAGTGAAGTTACTATAATGTAAATTGACTTTATCAAAGTGCTAAAACTTTTACCAAGGCACTTCCAAAAGTTAGATTTGAATACTTGATACAAAAGCTTGGAGTTTGTAGTTTCTAAGTCAGCTTGACATTTTTTACGGGTCGACTCGGCTCGACTTGGTTCAACCTTTAGCCTAGCCCGACATTGATTGATCTTTGGCCTAGGCCGACTTGGCCTAAACTTCAACTTTGGCCGACTCAGTTTGACCTTTGGCCTTGATCGACTTGGCTCGACTTTTGGCTTTGGCCAACTCAGCTCGACCTTTGGCTAGAGTTGACTCAACACAACCTTAGCTTAAGTTGACTCATAATGAACTTCAACCCAGGCTGACTTGGCAAGACCTTTGACCTGGGCTGACTTTGCTCACCCGTCAGTCTGGGTAGACTTGGCTGGACCTTCGGCCGAGCCAACTCAACTCGATGTTTGGCCCGAGCCAACTCGTCTTGACTTTCGGCCCGAGCTGACTCGATTTGATTCTTGGCCCAGACCGACTCGACTTGATCCTTCGACTCAAGTTGACTCAGTTTGACCTTTTGGTTTGAGTCAACTTAGCTCAACCTTCGACCCAGGCTAGCTCTACTCGACCTTAGACCTAGATTGATTTGGCTCGATCTTGTCCTCGTTTGCCTTGAGTTGACTTAGACAGAGAAACCTTTGTTTTGGATTTTCAAAATCCAAATAATGGTCCAAATCCAATTAAGTGGATTGGATTTAAAATCTAAAATATGGATTTGGATTTCGGAAAAATTCATTTAAATAGACTTAAAGTTATATGTATTTGGATTATTATAGATTGGATTTCACAATTTGGATCTTTTGCCCACCCCTTTTTGACCTCGAACACTAATGTTCTTTCATCTCCTTAATGGCTGCTGCATTATGAGTAGCTTCCGCCATTAATACAATACTCTGAATGGATTTCCCAAGCTGATACCAATTGTTGTAAAACTAACTAGTTCTTGGAAATACTCAAAGAACTAATAGGGAACCTTAGGAAACGGTTCTGAAAAGAAGAAAAAATTACAATGAACATAAAAACTGAAAAAACTTATGCAACAGCAATAGTTGCATTTATAACCCACTAACTTAATTGTTTTCTAACAGCTTACCAAGAAACAGTAAGTTCACAAACAAATTTCGTAACACATTGGTGGTGCACTGTTTGATATCAAAATGTTGAGGAGCCTCTACCTAACAACTTAAAACGAGTTGATTCCTTATGTTGTGTTAGTATGACCAAGTGATCAGAAGAACTGGTATCATAAAAGTGGCAAAGAAAGGGTTTTTTTATTGAATGAAGGCAGGGTATACACCACTCCAGATCTTTATTGGCAGCCACTGGTCTGCTAATATAAACCTATCCTCAATGGACCTAATCAGTTATAGGTGCATTCTCCTTCTTTCTAACATAATTAACTAGTTATCCACTTTTTCCATTTGTGGTCCTTGACATATATAAAGGGTTACTTTTTCCCAGATAAATAGAAAATCTATGCTAAACTCTTAGCTTGCAAATCTTGTAACATGTTGTCAAAGATATGGACCTCTTCACTTTCCTAAAAAAATTTGTATATAGATTGTTTTAATACTTATCTGGTAAAAACATTTTTTTATGTATGTCAGCATGCTTGTGTTTGTCTGTGTGCACACCTTGTTACAGGAATGTGCTAGTTATGTTTNCTAACTAGTTCTTGGAAATACTCAAAGAACTAATAGGGAACCTTAGGAAACGGTTCTGAAAAGAAGAAAAAATTACAATGAACATAAAAACTGAAAAAACTTATGCAACAGCAATAGTTGCATTTATAACCCACTAACTTAATTGTTTTCTAACAGCTTACCAAGAAACAGTAAGTTCACAAACAAATTTCGTAACACATTGGTGGTGCACTGTTTGATATCAAAATGTTGAGGAGCCTCTACCTAACAACTTAAAACGAGTTGATTCCTTATGTTGTGTTAGTATGACCAAGTGATCAGAAGAACTGGTATCATAAAAGTGGCAAAGAAAGGGTTTTTTTATTGAATGAAGGCAGGGTATACACCACTCCAGATCTTTATTGGCAGCCACTGGTCTGCTAATATAAACCTATCCTCAATGGACCTAATCAGTTATAGGTGCATTCTCCTTCTTTCTAACATAATTAACTAGTTATCCACTTTTTCCATTTGTGGTCCTTGACATATATAAAGGGTTACTTTTTCCCAGATAAATAGAAAATCTATGCTAAACTCTTAGCTTGCAAATCTTGTAACATGTTGTCAAAGATATGGACCTCTTCACTTTCCTAAAAAAATTTGTATATAGATTGTTTTAATACTTATCTGGTAAAAACATTTTTTTATGTATGTCAGCATGCTTGTGTTTGTCTGTGTGCACACCTTGTTACAGGAATGTGCTAGTTATGTTTGTCCTTTTCAATTCTTTTTCACCTACTGTAAATTTGAGGTTAGCAATTCTGTATGTTGCATGATTGTTATATTTTCTTCAATTAACTATTTTTTTTCATAGTCATATGCATAGACCTTTGCATTCATTCTTCATCCTGTGCTTTCTTATTTTTCATTATAGAATATAACCGAGGGGAGTATTTGGCCTACACTTGCTCAAGAAAGTTTAAAAGCTTTAGGTGGATTGGGTCTTCTTTCTCTTGGGGCAAAGTACATTCTCAGAAGAGTTTTTGAGGTCAGTATCAAATATATTTCAAGATTTTTATCCAAAGAAATAAAATTCCAAACTCATTTTTTATATGTTCTAGGCAGTAAACTCTTGGTCAAATTCAGGTTGTTGCAGATACAAGGAGCTCAGAGGCTTTTGTTGCTCTTTGCTTGCTGACAATTGCTGGGACTTCTCTAGGCACACAGAATTTGGGCTTTAGTGACACGGTTCTGTATTCTTCAATGCTTTGGGTTTTAGTTAGAGATTTTGAAGAATCATAAAATTAAATATTAACTTGAAAATTTTATGTAACATCACAATACAGCTTGGGGCTTTTTTAGCTGGGGCTATTTTGGCAGAGACAAACTTCAGGACCCAGATTGAAGCTGACATAAGACCATTTAGAGGCTTGCTCCTTGGATTGTTTTTCCTAACTACGGGAACTTCAATTGACATGCAGGTTATATGATTATTATTTATAATGTGTGGCATGGTTTTTTGTATTTCTCAACATGGTTGTTATGTTAATTTGACCATTGTGTCTGCATAAATGCAAACTGAGTATCAGGTTCATCAAACTAGTAAATTACAGAGGCCCAAGATTTTGTTCACCTGTGATCTAACATTCTAGTAACATGAATATATGTACATATACATATATATATATATATATATATATATATATGTGTGTATATATATATATATATATATATATATATATATATATATATATATATATATTATATGTGTGTGTGTATCCTTGACAGCTTGCTTTTTTGCGTGAAATTATAATATTTACACACCCCTACTGTTAAACTAAAGATGTATTTTTACCCTTCATAATTATTATTTTTGTTGCAGCTCCTTTTACGAGAGTGGCCAAATGTACTTTCACTCTTGGGAGGTTTAATTGTTATAAAGACATTGATCATAACTGCAATTGGTCCTCGTGTTGGGCTTACTTTACAAGAAAGTGTAAGAATAGGATTGCTTCTATCCCAAGGAGGCGAATTTGGATTTGTTGTTTTCTCTTTAGCAAATAGGTACTTAATTATCTGATATAATGCACTGATGTTATTTGAGTGAGAACACTGGGATTGTTTTTAATTATCAAAATTGGTGTGGCTTCTTATAACAGGCTCGGGGTGCTTCCTCTTGAGCTCAACAAACTGCTCATAATTGTTGTTGTATTGTCGATGGCATTAACCCCATTTCTGAACGAAGCTGGAAGAAGGGCTGCTAGTTTTATAGAAGAAAAATCTGATACTGAGAATGTAGGTTTTTTTTTCAAGATTTATAATTTTGGCAGTTATGTGCACTCGGACACAAACACACATGTGCATGCTTATAAGTATTAAAAGTAGCTATGAGGAATATTGGTGTATTTGAAAAAAAAATGTCATACATAACACATGTAATTAAAAAAATACAAGAAAATTCGCTTGCTGTACTAAAGTAGGTCCTTATGGCACAAAATTCATTCTCTGTGGATTTTTTCTTCAAAACCATCAATTTCTTTTCAATTATTTTTCTTTTGATTACTTAATGTGTTATAGGACAAAATACAACTTTTTCTTCAATCTTATGCCAGTGATTTCATGTTTACTGCAAATGTACATTAAGTAATAAATTATTTTCAGAATGAGAAAGCTTTGGAGACTGTTAACTTCGATGCTCGTGAACCTGTTGTTATCCTTGGATTTGGACAAATGGGCCAGGTAGATCATCAATACATTGTAAAACCTGTCATTTCTACCACTCATTTCTAAAATTTCTCCTTCTGTTCTATATGTAAAGGTCCTTGCCAATTTCCTGTCCAATCCATTAGCTTCAGGAGAAGGTGATGAAGTAGGATGGCCTTATGTAGCATTTGATGTGGACCCCAATGTAGTAAAGGTTAGGGTATTTTGAGCATTGTGCATGGCTATTGTCTATCAGTACCTTCATGAGACCCTTTCCTTTTCATTTTCTGAGGAATAATTTGAAACTCTTGGGTTATCTTCTCCTTTTCTTTATTTTATTAAGAGGATGAAAGCATTATATTTGTCATTTCTTACCCTTCTTATTGCAATCTCTTCTATCCACCTTTCTTTTAATTTATTCTCCCATCTTTAACTGCTGGACAGACAGCTAGAAAAATTGGCTTTCCTATAGTCTATGGGGATGGATCACGTCCTGATGTTCTTCAATCTGCTGGTGTCTCTTCCCCAAAAGCTTTTATGATTATGTACACTGGAAAGAAGAAGACAATTGATGCTGTTCAGAGGCTAAGATTGACATTTCCCACGGTAATAATCTCTTACACCCCCTACCCTCACTACTGCCCCCTTTCTTTTTTTCTCAATTGGTTCAGAGAGAGTGCATGTTTATGTGAACAAGAGGGGGGAAGTAACCTGTTCTATAACTGAAAGCTATGGTAGTATGATGTCATTAGCTTAGTTTTAGTTTGTTTATAAAATGAATGGTGATAATCTCCAATATGTATCATAAGAATCTCTTACCAAGTTATAAACAAAACCAAAGGGTATCTGATGCACTAGGACATGTACTACTTGTTAGGTTTTTATTAAGTGTAACTTGGCTGATAAAAATTTGAAACAGTGTTTCATATCTTCCTTTAATCCTGCTGTCTTTTCTCTTGGTTTAATTGTATACTTAGTGATGAAATTCCTCAGATTCCAATCTATGCCAGAGCTCGTGATCTAAAGCATCTATTAGATCTGAAAAAATCAGGTGCAACAGATGCCATTTTGGAAAATGCAGAGGTAGTGCCAAAAAGGTTTTTTCCCTCCCCTAATATTTGGAAAGGAAACTGGTGTTAAATATTTTATTCTTGCAGACTAGCTTGCACCTGGGTTCTAAGCTGCTGAAAGGCCTTGGTGTGATGTCTGATGATGTAGCATTTTTGAGTCAACTTATAAGAGATTCCATGGAGCTCCAAGCACAAGAAGCGGTCAGCCAACCTGAAAATCGTGGATTGGATATTATGCAACCCCTGCAGGTACTTCAAAACAATTATTTGTCTTTGATTAAATGCTAAAATATGGTTGTCTAGGAGCTGTCTTATGGATTTATCTGAATTTAATAGGATATCTAAAAAAAAGTGGGAGGAAAGAATGTAATGAGTAATAAGCAAAAACATTAGTACTTAATTGATTGTGCTGATGTTGCTTTGTTGGTTTCCTCATCCTTTGACCATAATATGGCCTTAAACTTCTGATTTTTCATTTTGAATGTTATTCCCCTTACCCCCGGCATGTTTCTCCATTGCATCATAAGGATGTTTGAAAGCATTGGGAGGAAGATCCTTCTGTTGTTTGTCTTTGATTACATTGTTCTTGTCATTGTGCATCTTGAGGGGAGTCCATAAAACAAAAATGAATATAGGAAAAACTTGTGCACTGATAAAAGCCAGCTTTGGAAAAGGGCCTTTCACGTTTATTAATCAATCATACATCTATACACACATACATATATATATATATATATATATATATATATATATATATATAGTAATATATATATATATATATATAGTAATTTAGTTTATTAAATATTGCTTGTATTTCAGTGTTGGATATTGCGCACACACACGGTATTCTTATTTATAATGAAGAAGAGAAACAATAACAATGAACAAAATCAATATTTAATAATGGAAAGTATTTGGTAAGATATTCCCTATCAAATCATATCTCTCTTTTTAATGTAATATTTAAACTATGTCTAACATAATGATGTTATTATATCTAACACTCTCCCTGCATATGTATCGTATGAGACAAACTTTTTATTAAAGTCATTAACACAATCCCCTAGAGAATCATATCAGTTGTTTGTTGGAGCTGATAAAGTAAATAAGTGACATATTTAACATTCTCTCTCTAGTTAGAGCATATGTATCATATTAGTCAAGTTTGTTACAAATATTGGGGGCCATGGTAGTTGCCAAAAAGCAAAAAAATGCTTGGAGATCACGACAATCTTGAGTAGAAAAAATTAGTCAGAGCATGGTGGTTATCGGGGAGTAGAAATGCTCAGAGGGTGTGGAGCCTACTGACCACCAAAAATGCTTGAAGTTCACAACGAATTTAGATGAGGGAAAAAAATGCTCAAAGAGCATGGTAGCTACTTTTGATGAACAAAATAAAACTACTTGAGGAGCACAAGGGTTGCCAGGGAGCACAAGGGTTGCCAGGGAGCAAAAAGGTTCAGAGGCGTGGCAATTGCTGGAGGGTAAATAGTCACTAGAGAGGAAAAAAAATGCTTATAATATCTTTTTTATTTAAATTAGTTTTTAGGAAATATTTCAGTTTTAAAAATATCTTTCAGTTTTAGAAATTACTTATTATTTTAGATTAAGATTGAGATATTGTAAATATTTGCTCTCTCTCTCTCTCTATATATATATATATATATATATATATATATAGGTACAACAATAAAATACAACAAGTTCCTCCATACAATATATCTCTTATATCTATCATATATCTCATACCTCTCATATTTTCATAACCCCTAAAAATTCCCAATAGTGGTATAAGAGTCTTCCTTCTTAGAATGGAAGGAAATTTCTCAGAAGAAGTCGCTATTCCACTCTTTGTTGGTGAAAGACATGATCTATGGACAATTAGAATGCAAACTTATCCACGTGAGCTAGATTTATGTGAAGTCGTGGAGGAAGATGATGTTACATTGCCTAAAGACAAAGTCATACTTGTTTACAGGTGTTTTACAAATGATCCTTTTGAGGATCATGACTGTTAGGCTTCTTTAGTCAAGAAGTCTAACTATCACTCAAAACAACACACTCACTCACCAAATTACTGGAAACAGAACTGGATTACTATTGTAACCAAAGAATACAATAATAGGAGAGCACTCTCTCCTCCAAGGGTTTCCCCTTCACAAAGAGCAAAAGCTCAATCTACAAGATTATCCAAAAAGTACCCTCACACAAGACCTCCCTGTCTTCTTATAAAGCCCCCCCTAACCAACTAACAACTAATTCCTAATCTATTTCCTTTTATTTTGCACACATTATATCCTAACATTACACCCCGCTGCAAAACAACCTTGTCCTCAAGGTTGGAACCCTAAACTGTTTCCTTTGAACGTTATATTGCAGCCCTACAAAGAAATATTCCTGCCATTGGTCTTTTGGTGTTTTATATGTTTGTGACAACCATATCTTGAATTTTTGGATGAAATTTTTCCCACTCCCAGACCCTATTATTACTGTCAAACCATCCAATACAACTGCTACTATTTGCAATTTTAAATCTGGAGGCTTGGGTGGTGGTCGATATGAGAGATCCTCCTCCAATGACTTTCACACTTCCTGGATTCTTTTAGCCCAATTTTGTGAAATCCTCAAATTCACATCTCTGACATCATTAGTTCTTGTAGCAACAACACTTTTGGCAATTGTTGCTCCCTTATTTCCAACAAAACTAGATTTAACAATATAACTAGAGAATGGCTGAAAGCGAAAAACTTTCTTCAACCACATATCATTACTAAATCCTGTTCCAGGAAAATTAAATGAAGATCCAACCAGATTTGAATGATTGGGTTACCTCCATCTACTTTCAAATTCTCACTTGAGATTGCCACACTCCCAATCTGTGTTACTGCTGCCCAACTCTCACATAGCATGCTTCTCTTGTTCCCTTCAACTATCCTTAGTAGAGTTGTTGCCAGATTTTTCCAAGAAAGGTTCTTGGATTTTTGTTGCCAGGTCTTGAACCCTTAGACTGCATTTTCTTCCATATTATTGTCTTTTGGGTGAACCTTTTTTGATCCTTTGATGTTCTGAACTTCAAAAACTTTTGTTGCCCTTGTTGTTTGACCCTTGGTGTCTTTCCCTTCAATTGTGGACAACTCCACTCCTTCAACCCACGGGACAAGTGTTTCTTCTTTTGGTTTACTGCTTTGTGGACCTCTTTCTTCCTTCTTCTCTTCATCATTAGCCAAGTACTCTCCTTCTTTAGAGAATTTCTTGCCTTTCTTGATGTCTTGCAGAAGTTCCTCTCTTGATCTGTAAACAGCCTCAACTGGGTTGCTCCTTGACACCATTGTTTTAACCCCAGGCCTCAACAATTCTTCCCCCTTCTTCACTGTTTTGACAAACACACCACAACCTACCACATTATCTCCACTAAAAATAGCAGCTTTTGCAACATTCTCAGCAGCAGCCACACCAATGTCTCCATCACAGTTTTTGTCATTGCCTTCCTCTTTACATATATTTTCTTCTCTCCTATCCTGACCTCTAATTCTTGTAAAACCATCCACATTCAAAACTGCAGCTTTTGTTTCTCTTTTCTTCTCAAAAACAGAACCTCTATCTCTTCCTACAAACCCCCTTATCAATGCCTCTTTCATCCCTTTCTAAGAATGGTTCTTGGTTTTATTTTCCCAGGCCCTGAACTAGTATATTGTGCCTCCCTCCATGCAGTTGTAAGCCAACTGGAGCCTCTCCTTTTTTGTGACATTCTGAATGTCAAAGAACTTCTCTTCCTTAGAGATCCACCCCAACGGGTCCAGCTCCTCAAACCTGGGCAATTCTACCCGTTTTCTCCAATTCTGTTCACCCTTGTCTTCCTCCAGCTCTTCTTCTGAACCCTCTTTCTATCCTTCCATGACAAATTTCTCACTTCTTTCTAAGTTCTTTATGTGAATCTTGATTTCTTGCAGCATTTCTCTCATTTCTTGCATATTCCTTTTGCATTCTGCCATGTCCATTTTCAGTTCGCTGGTCCTCCTCTCCAAGGTATTGTCTCTTCCTTCCATGCCTCCACCCTTTCTTGATCACTTCTTGATCCCTTCTTGATCTGGCAATCCCCTTCCGTTCGAATCTAGCAGGTCTGACCAATTTGTTAGGCTTCTTTAGTCAAGAAGTCTAATTATCACTCAAAACATCACACACTCAATCACCAGATTACTGGAAAAAAAACTGGATTATTATTGTAACCAAAGAATACAAGAATAGGAGAGCATTGTCTCCTAAAGGGTTTGCCCTTCACAACGAGTCGAAGCTCAATCTACAAGATTATCTAAAAAATACCCTCACACAAGACCTCCATGCCTTCTTATAGATGATCCCCTTCCGTTCGAATCTAGCAGGTCGGACCAATTTGTTAGGCTTCTTTAGTCAAGAAGTCTAATTATCACTCAAAACAACACACACTCAATCACCAGATTACTGGAAAAAAAACTGGATTATTATTGTAACCAAAGAATACAAGAATAGGAGAGCATGTCTCCTCCAAGGGTTTCCCCTTCACAACGAGCCAAAGCTCAATCTACAAGATTATCCAAAAAATACCCTCACACAAGACCTCCATGCCTTCTTATAAAGCCCCCCCGTAACCAACTAACAACTAATTCCTAATCTATTTCCTTTTATTCTGATCACATTATATCCTAACAATGACCCTAAAGTCTTCCAAAGAAATTTGGGATTATTTGAAACAAGAATATGAAGGGAACAAGAAGATTCAAGGCATGAAAGTTTTAATCTTGATAAGGGAGTTCAAGATTCAAAGGATAAAAGAGACAGAAACAATCAAGGGATACTGAAACAAATTGTTGGGTATTGCTAACAAAGTAATCTTATTGGGAAAAGAGTTTCCAGATTCCATACTCATTGAGGAAAGATATGAAGCATCTATTGCTTCCTTAGAAAACACAAAAGATTTATCTACAATTACTTTAACAGATGATACATGGCTTGCAAGAACAAGAGCAACTATTTCATGGGGAATAGAATGCTCTCATAGTTAAGAACAACTGAAGGAACAAATACAACACGAGTTTTCCCATCTTGTCCCTATTGCAAGAAAAAAAATCACGAACCCAATTGGTGTTGGTGGAGGCCAAATGTAAAATGTCAGAAATGCTATCAATTGGGACATGTGGAGAGATATGCAAATCCCAAGATCCTCTAGAAAATGTCAAGATTGTAGAGCACAAATCAGAGGAGAAACTACTTCTTACAACATCATGTGTTACAACCAACAAATCTACAAAAGATTGGATTATAGATAGTGGTTTACAAACCACATGACTCATGATAGAGAACTTTTCAAAGAGCTCAACAAATCAGATATTTTCAAAGTAAGAATTGGGAATGGAGAACAACTTGGTGTGAAAGGTACAAGAACAATTTCAATTAAAATTCATTCAAGTACCAAATTAATTTTTTGTCTTATATGTTCCTGAGATTAGTCAAAATTTATGTGTTACTCAAACCTTATGAAAATTCTATAAGGGAAGATGAATATCTCTTGGAGAGGTTTGACTTCCAAGTGAAGAAAGAAGATGAAGGCCCACGTTCTAATATTCATCAAAGGTTTAGATATTAATAAAGGAGGCATGCGGAGAATATTTACTTAAGATCTTTTTTATTTAAATTAATTTTTAGGAAATATTTTAGTTTTAAAAATATCTTTCTGTCTTAGAAATTAGTTATTATTTTAGATTAAGATTGAGATATTGTAAATATTTTATATTTGATATTATGTTATATTTGATATTATGTTATATTTTGCTCTCTATATATATAGGGTATATCAATGAAATAAAACAAGTTCCTCCTTACAATATATCTCTTATATATCTCGTACCTCTCATTTTCATAACCTCTAAATATTCCCAACACTTGAAGCATGGGAAGATCCAATAACAATACCACTACTTGCTAGTTGCTTTCTTTTGTTGTTTTCTTTTCTCCATGTACAAATTATTGGTTGTTGTTAGAGATTCTATAGGAAGAATACGAGAGTACACAGCAAAGAATCGTTCATCAAGTCCTTTGAGAAAGTGGACGATGAAGATTTTATTGTGAGATGTTCTAGCTAGCTGCACAGGTAGGTAATTATATTCTTTTTTTCATATTGATTTCAGCTTGGTATAGTATTCGGTCACCGGGTGTGACCCTCGTGCAGTATGAATAGAGCTCCGAGTACGAGCTTTGATACCATAAAATAAACACGAATATTGGAAAAGGCCTTTCACATTTCTTGATCATTAGCAACATACTGGGGATATATATAGTCTAGTTATTGCAGCTCGTCTAAAGGATAAGATGGAATCTAAGAGACAACAATTCAAAGAAACCCAAATATGAAAAATACACTAAAGATTACAACTATAACAACAGTGAAAGAATACCTCAAATTCCGTTGGGCTTGATCTTCTGTGTGAGCAGATCTTGCTTGGTGCGTTGTTGTTTTTCAATGGATTTGTCTCTTCTAAATTTACAAAGTTTAAAGTAAGAAATTTTAGTTGTTAATTAAGAAAATTAACTATTGATATTTCAACACATCCATAAAACTAGATTTCAACATTATTTCCCCTTTACTGATTTGTTCTTTGTAATAAACTTGCATGACAAGAAACTGTTGTGTCTGTAATGTAAGGTGAAAGCTTCTGACTTGAGGGAAGCACGTGTTCCTGCGGCAATAACTTCACCAGAATCTGAATTATCAGAAATGAATCAGAAAGATCAAGCTTCATCAGTTAGAAATCAAAGGGAAGTAGATCTTGAAGAACAAGAACATGAACTTAGTGAAGCTGTGAAATTAGAAGGAAATGGTGTTTTACTTAGCAAACAAATTAGTGAAGAAAGCGCTGAGGAGCCCTGAACAGGGCTTCTTCAAAGTTATTTTTCTCCTCTAACCCCAATAAATTCTGAAAGATTCAGGAAGTTTTCATTTTCATTGCAGAGCTAACGATATATGTATAGGAAATATCCCAATGCCTTGTAGAACAGCATCATTCCAACTCTGATGCTCACTTCAATTCTTTTGAGAGCCACAAAATGTATAGTGATTTAACACCTTTAAAATAGTTTTTATTTTTTGTGGGAAATCATAAACAGTTTAAGGTGGTATAAACTTCTGAAAATAATACGGTCCTACTTGTTAAAATTATTTTGCAATGCTCATAGTATGCAGATAGATTCACTGTTTAAAAATGATGATGAAAAAAGGTTTGCAAATTGATTCGTTGTTGAAAAATGAGAATGAAAATAAGTGGAATGTCAGTTCTTCCCTTTGTAGAGAATCTTTTGACAGAGCATATCCAAATTGCGTGTCACATGCCAAGTTCCAATTCAGTATCAGACAAACCAGTTGATGTGAAATTTTGCAAAATCAGATGTACAATGCACAGACTCCTTTTGCGACTGTGGCTTTCATGACATAGAATCAAGCACCAAAATGTTTTAAATTAATTTGTACTCTGTAATTTATATCTATATCATTATTAAAAAAAATTCTTTTTTTTCTTACATTTAGTTTTTTATTTTATCCTTTATATAACAGTTTTTTAAATTAAATTAATTATTTTACTATTTTACCCTTTAACAGACACATTTTTAAAAATTAAATGTTCTTTTTTCTCTATTGGATATTTTTTTAAAAAAAATTATGTGACCGACCCAATTTTTCCTACTATAAAAATATTTAGCAATTTCCTTCATTTTTTATATCAAAATATATAAATATTAAAGCTAAAAGATATAAAGATTCACATTTAGTACCGTCTTTCTCATAACAAAAGGGAATTTTTAAAATATTTTAAACATATAAGATTAATACAAAATATTTCTTTGATATATGTGTTTATATCTATGATGTTCATCTGGCAGTCTCAATGTTGCTCTCTATTACCTATAACATTCTTTTCTTCACGTGACTAATGCGATCGTAACATGAAGACAAACACATAAAAGATCCAAAAATAAGGATATGCTAGAATTTCAAAATTAGAACAAAAATTCTTTATTACTTTTAAAATTAGAACGAATATTTTTCATTATTTTTAAAACTAAAAAAAATTATTAATTATTTTTAAAGTTAAAAGAAAAAAATCTTTATTATTTTTAAAATTGGAAAGAAAATTCTTTATTATTTTTAAAATTAGAAAAAAAATTATTCATTATTTTAAAAATTTGAACGAAAATCATTCATTATTTTTAAAATTAAAATAAAAAATTTTCATTATTTTTAAAATTAATTCTCCATTGTTTTTAAAATTAGAAGAAAAAAACTTCATTATTTTTAAATTTAGAAGGAAATTTCTTCATTAGTTTTAAAATTATAAGAAAATTCTTGGTTATTTTTAAACCAACTCTAACCTAATTTTTTACATGTAAAAAAAAATCAAGTATAAATCCACTAATTATATTAAATGGTTTAAAAATAATGATAAAAATATTTAATAAAAATGTAAATTTTAATAAATATTAAATTTAGTCTCAATTTAAAGATGAAAAAAATTGGAACTGAATTAAACAAAATTAATAAAAGAAACTAAACTAAAAAAAATTAACAAAAATTGGGACTAAATTAAATATAGAATAATAATATTTTGACAACATTTTTTTGACAACATTTTAACATCATTTATGTGTCATTCTGTGATTGGTTCAAAATTACTCCACAATCAATAATAATAATCATAAACATCTAACATGGACCAATCACAGAATGACACGTAGATGATATTAAAATGTTGTAGAAAAATGTTGTCAAAAGTATCATTATCCTTAAATATAAGATACATAACATTAATACTAACTTGACACATGACATTCACATTGCCATGTAACACATACATTGCCATATAACACTTACATTGTCTCTTGACATAATGTTGACTTGACATGTCTCCATTTTTTTTTAAATTTAAAAAATTAAAAACAAGTTTAAAAAGTTAAATAAAATAAAAAACTAACATGTAACACGTGTTGTTCATCTTTAATTAATGATTTAGAGAGAGTCATAAGAAGGATTGAATTGAATATAAGTTACCAAAATTTAAATCACATAAAAATAAACGAGTCTTACACAAGATACAAACAGGGACAAAAAATAGTATTAAGTCTAGTTTTTATTTTTAAATTAAATTAAATTATTTTTATTTTACCTTTTAACTAACACATTTTAAAATTTAATTATTTATTTTTCAATTTTACAATTTAATTTAACTATTTTCTTAGTCTAAAATAATTATCTATAACAGAAGCATTTCTACAAAATAAATAAAATTTATTTGCCATAAAAATATAAATTTTATTTACATATACTTTTATAATAATAATAATAATATTTTTCTTAGTAACCACTATACACATCTCATTATTCATACTACACCTATTTAATCATTTTTTAAATTTAATATTTTTAAAATTACATAATTAAAATCTATATTTATTTAAATTATAAAAATTATTTATATTTACAAATAAATAAGATTATTTACCAAATGAATAAAAATATAATTAATTAAATAATGATGATTATTTTCTTTTATTTTTATAATTATTTATTACTTTTTTATTATTATAAAAAAATAAACCGGATATATTTTTACTAATAATTTTAATCAAAATTT